CTCTGATGAACGCTGACTCAGCATGTCCAAAGCTTGTGCTTGTTCTTACCATTTGGTCATGGGCCATGGGATATTAATTGCTTCTGCTTTTGTGTTTGGTTAGGAGAGTGCTCGGAGAAGGCTTCCAAAAAGTGTTTTGGTCAGTTATTGTCTTTGAGCTAAAGGGACATTAGGGCCAATGTTACTGGACTTTATTAGAAATATGATTTGCTTATTTTACTTCAATTAAAACCACTGCCCTGGCAGTTGTATTACAGCTCCATTTACTTGTGATACCACTTGAGGAAATGCAAAGAAACAGGTTTGAATCCCAGCTGGGCCATGTGCTGTCTTTGACGATAGGGGAAAGTGGGCACAACCTAATGCAAGGTAAAATTTAACACCTTTTTTGTAGTTAAACACATACAGTAGAACATGCTTCAGGTCATTTTTCGTATTCCCATTTAAATGTTATTTGCAAAGCTTGACAGATGTTTCTCCTCATGGTATGGTTAGTTTTAACATGCTGTTACAACTAAGCCTCCCAAAGTAAACAATGAGAGATCTGTATAAATTACAGTTTTTTTAAACATTTTATTTATAGATTCATCAAAAACATGCTCTAGATGTCTTGTAAATAAAATCAACAACTATTCAGGATATACTTGGATGTAGGCACCCTCTTTCCCCAATAACTACCCAGTGTACTCCAGTTTACAAGTTAATTATTTGTGTTATTTGTATAGTTGTGTAGTAGAGTTTGCAGTTTAGAGTCCTAAATCTCATCTGGAGTAAAAAAGTATGGTTCAAAACAGACTCAACTACAAGCATGTAATATCTGAGGGTAACCAGGACACAAGTGTTTAAATAATGTTAAATAAAGCTGCACTGAGGAATTGCTGAAAAAGCACTGGCCTGTCTGGCCCTTAGTCTGCTAATAAACCATGGTGGTAAGCTGGTGGGTGTGTTGATGTTATTACAAAGCCTTTATTACTGTAGCTGTGAAAACTGACCTGCTACTTGCAGTGATTCCTGTGCCACAGCTGCAAAAATTGCAGGTAATCAACTTAATAAATCCCAAAGTTAATTCTGATGCGAAAATAGCTGAATGTCTCTCTTGCAAAACAAGGTGTGTCATGCTGAATGATGTAATGGTGCTCTTTCCTTTCATAGTGATCACTTCAATTTCTGCCGTTTATGTGATTAACTGGAAAAGTGAAAAAGAAAGCGCAGCTTAAGCTTTCTAAGATGTTGCTAGGCAGTTGCTAAGGTATTCCTTGCTAGGGAGTTGCTAGGTGGATGCTAAGATGTTGCTGAGGGATTGTTATGGTGTCCCAATTGGTTGCTAAGGTGTTGCTAAATGGTTGTTATGGTATTCCGAGTAGTTGCTAAGGTATTGCTAGGCAATTGCCATGATATCCCAGATAGTTGCTAGGGTGTTGCAAGGTTGTTGCTATGATATCCCAAGTGGTTGCTAGGGTGTTGTTAGGTGCTTGCTGTGGTATCCCTCATGGTTGCTAGGGTGTTGCTAGGTCACTGCAACCATATCCCAGGTGGTTGCCTGGGAGTTGCTAGGTTGTTGCTATGGTAGTCCAGGTGGTTGCTAAGACACCCCAGGTGGTTGCTAGGGGGTTGTTGTGGCTGGTGGTTGCTATAATATCTCACAAGATTATTTGGATGTTTCTAATGGATGTACATCGTCGTGATTTTAAGCTGAGTGCACTTTTTTGTCCCCATTCATTCCTAGGGGGAAAAATAGTCGTTGTGTGTTGATGTCTTTAATTGACTGGTTTGATAAGTAGGCCAGGTTCCAAAACTAAATCACTGATAGTGCATCAGATATAAATGGGTGCACAGAATAGGAAGGCCCCTGCTTTAAATACTAATTTACTAATAAAATCTTATAAAACATCATTATTTGTAGCCTAGTATAATAGTGTGGTTTCTCTTTGGGATATTTGAATATTAGCAATTAAAAAAAAACAAAAACGGGGGCGGTCCGTGATAGTAAGTCTACTTGCTAGCTACATTTGACGAATTTCTCAGACATTAGCTAACATCCAGTATGCCAGCAAAATAGGATACTAAGTGCATCACAGTCCGCTTGCAGCAATCGCACAAATGTTTCAGGCTTAGACGCATAAACTTAATGTAGATTAATTATTGTCTTCATACTGCGGTACCAGAGCCATTCTACGTAGGCTACCAAAATATCATCTGCATAACATGGCACTGATCTCACGCAGAAATCAGGCAGGCTGTCTGAGAGTCACAGAATTCAAGCTGAATATAAACCATAGAATTCCTGTTGATAGGAATTTACATTAGAAAAGCATTTGAAAAGGTACAGAGGAACCTCTGACTAAGACTAGCTAACTGGCTAAATCAGTCTATGTAACACATCAATCTTTATGTGGTGTTTCACTTATAATTAAGCAAGAAAATACCTGCAATGGTTTTATTAACGTAAAGCAGCTATTTGCTAATCCTTTGAATAAATTTTGCACCACTCCGTCTCTTGTCCATCAAAGTGTCTTCCTTTGCCTAAATAATGACTGGACAGTTTTATTTTCTAGGCTACTGCTAAAAGCACATATTGAAAGTCTTTTCTATACAGTAATTAGGCTATTGAGTCATTCAGCAAAATTGGTGCTGAATAGATGTTCTAATTTGAAATTTTCTCATGTCAAGAAGTCACAGTTTTTTGTCCATTTATGTTTCATTTACATACTTTTATCAAAAAATCTGATTTCTCAACCTCAGTAACCATATTTAATCACACTAAGCTGTGAATGAGGTAAACGTTTCAGGCCAAACCAGCTGTTTGATACCACAATTAGACATTTTAAAGTTTTTTTTTTGAGAATATTGCAGTGGAGTTGTATAAAAACTGTTTAGTTGTCTGTTTTGTGCGAGAGAACAGACATATGCTTGACGTTATGGGTTCGTTATGCTTGACGGACCCTGTCCAGGATCTAGAAAACAAATAAACAAATCAGATCAGTGTTGTTTAAAGAAAAAAAATTTGTATTGCAAAATTTAAGCATTTGAAATCAGCTCCCCCAAAGTCACTCACTACATCATCATGCAACTTAGTGTGACAGCACATTACTTTTATAGCTAAATGACAGGCACATACATACATACATATATATATATATATATATATATATATATATATATATATATATATATATATATATATATATATTGGCCCTACATCATGAACTCACTTGATGGTAAAAATGTCCTGTGACGTATGATATGAACACTAACAAATAGCAGAATGTCTTGAAGTGACACACTTTGCTCCTCACAAAAAGAGTGTGCTACGTTCCAGTTTGGAAAGGTGAATGCAGCATGGATAGTCTCACCCCCTCTCTCGGGAGTTTTTGGGTGAAATGAAAGTGTGACATTGTGATGCCTAAATACATTTTCATGATGCAAAATATAAATCATGATATTTAGTTTTCTTAGGTTTGATAAATTGCAACAGAAAAAGAATTGTGTAGTGCCACTCTCGAAAAGTACAATAATTTGTATTTACAACTTTACGGCACTAAGTCCAGTTAAACAGGACTAATTATGCTTTCCTTGTAAGTGTGCGGTTGGTCAGTGTAAGTACTGACAGACATGATGGTTAGAAGAGTATGTTGTGATGTAAGGTGACACATTTATAATATTGTTGAATGACCGCCCCCCTTTCTTACACATAGATCAGATGTCCGTAGCCCAGTTTGAGCTGCTTTTGGAAATGCACTCCATACATGACAAAGCAAAGGTTTTGAAATGTGTTGCTAGTTTTTGAGACATAGCCATGGGTCAGTTTGGCTGTTGCTATGCCAACTGCAGAGACAACAGCAATTGGTAGATTTAATGTTGCTTGCGACAAACATCAGGTTTGCCAAGTAAGAGTAGTTTGATTGATGTATTTCTGCTAGTAAGCACTCTGTCTTTATGATATATCTGTATCTGATTACTGATTCTTTAACCCTAACAGAGCACAGTTAATTTTTTTTGTATCCCAATTATGTTATATGTATTCTGTTACTACCAAAGTCTCATAAGCCCACTTCAGACAGGATTGTGTTTTACGTGGGGTCCTAGGGTGGTTTCCTCTTTTATTCCGTCCGGATCATCCATGTGTGTGTTTTTCTCCATTCTCCCCTGAGGAAAAACAGGCCGAATTACCTACTGCATTTTACCAAACTTGCTGATCATCTGATAGATTAAATCTGGGTGGTGGATTTTCCAGACAGATTACATTGCATTGCGTTGAAAAAGATTTTGACCACTGCTACTTGCCATATTTAGTCGTCTAGCATATCCATCCATGTTAAATATTTTCCAACTTGCGAAACAGTGGATGCTTTGGAGGTCTTTACTTGATCTGCATGTATAGATGTATAGATTTATACATGCAGCTGCACCGATAGTGCAATTTATATTTACACACAACCACACAATGTCATCAAAGAATTTTATATGCACTATGTATATTTTTTACTTGAATAGAGCATAATCATATGACGCAAACATCCAGGTTGGTTGAAATTACACCCCAAAACTCGCACCTCCTGTAGTAATTTTATGGATGTGTGAGTTTTATCACTGAGAAGATTAGTACCTACAGGCATCCCCCTGATGAACTAATCCAATCTGAATAGGCTAATAGAAGTAAAAGAAGTCTGTCTTTGAGTCAGTGCTCATTAAGTTGCTCCATTCTTGACACTGGTGGTAGACAGCGTGGCATTTGAGACAGTGGCATACATAAAATTGCTGAATGATAGACTTTTTTTGGCAGATGATGTACTTCAGAGGCAATTCACTTGTCTGTGGGTTTCAGGTACAGTTCATGCAAACACTGTGTGTAGGTACAGCACCATGGGCCTTTCTGGCACCACAGCACTTGCATGTGATGTTTGATGCCTTGCATGGTAACATGCAACGGCAAGTACTGGTCTGCATGCCGCTTAATGAATGTCTTCCTTTCTCTCTCCCTGCCCCATCCGTGCTCGCAGAAGACAACCATGTTGAAGGTGGGTAACATATTTTTTTAATCATTATTATACTTACCTCAACCTTGACCCATAATGTGGTTTATCACTGTCATTACATGTTCCATGTGCAGACGGTAGGTAATTTATTCCTTGCCATTAATCTTTTGGATCTGGAGATGTTCACTATAGCTGAATTTGACAGCTAGAGGGGTACAAAGCCCCCCAGCATTGAGCTGTGGAGCATTAGAATTGCGTTCTCTGTAGTGATGGAGCTCCATCCAAACCTTTGGGATGAGTTGGAGTGGTGTTTGTGAAACAAAACCAGTCTTTTAACATTAGTACCTGACCTCACTAGTGCTCTTGTGGCTGAATGCAACCAAATTCTCACAATGTTCCAACATCCGGAGTTTTCCCAGAAGAGTAGATGCAGCAAAGGGGGGACAAACACCCTATAAATTCTCTTGATTGGTGAAGAAATGTTGAAGCAGGGGAAAGGAGATGTAACCCCAGACTCACTTTGTTCAATCCTTCAGGACAGGCAGATGTTACCTGATTGTCAGAACGATCCTGGAAATGTCAAATCCAGCTATTGTGCAAAAAAGGGCAAGAGTTAAAAAGGACCATAATGATTTGGGATGAGGAAGTCAAGTGAATGCCTGTAAGCCAAAGTAAACCATAAGTATGGAAGTTCTGATTGTGAGATGTAATCGATGGAGAATAGTACAAGAGTGAACAGTTACTGTTTGGGTAACTTCAGAGAATTCTGCGCTCTTAAAAATAAAGGTTCCCAAATAGTTCTTGGCTTGGATGTAAAGTTCCTTAAAACCATTTGACCTATCTATGCTCCAGATGCTAATGTGTTCTTTGATAACAAAAATTGCAGCGTTGGTTAACCTTTGCAGACCAATCAGCTGAAACAAATAGCATCCGGTTCTTGTTGACTAGGATTTTTGCCAACATTCTGTAAAGCTTGGTCAACTTTTCGTGCTACAGAAGACCACATTTGTGGGTGGAGCATGGATAGATCAATTGGTGTACAGTCTTTACATAAGAAGGAGGTTCTTCAGAAAAGTTATTCACACTTGTACATCTTCTTTACAAACATGGTTTCTTGAAGAACCAGCTATTGAAAGGTTCTTTAGACAACCCAGAGTGGTTCTACTGTGGCATCACTCCAAAGAACCTGTTGTAGCACCCTTATTTTTAAGAGCGAACCCATGAAACATGATGGAGAAGAATGCGGGGTTATCTCAAAACCAATGTGTGGTATATCCCAAAAAAATGCGGGAGATGTTGAGCCTGAACGTTTAGTCTGGCTTCCTTATCCCTAGTGATGGAATGAGTGGAATGCTCCTTCAAGGTTGAAGAGGTAAATCATCCTTCTGCATGGTCCTTATATCAGTTAAATGTCAGATATATTCTTCAGTATCCATCACAATGGAATAAAACAGGTACAGAACTGAAGAACTAGAAGCAAATGATGGAGGAAAAAGACTGTTTTCGCTGTTAGGCTGGTTTTGAACAAGACTGTAGTCAACTTGAATATCAAGGTAATTTTTAATGCACTTTTATCAACGGATCCTGTTGTTTATGAAAAAATGCACCACCATTCAAAAGGTCGGAATCAATGTTTTCAGTATTACAAACCGAATTTGGTAGCAGGCAAGTTATTAAATGATTCACATATGCTAATATTTTGCAACATCAATGTTTTCAGTAAATAGCAGGACACTATAAAGCTGTAAATAAGACTTAACAATTAAGTTATAATAAAATTAATATTCAGAAGTCTGTATGTTTCAAAAGCGGAGATCAAATCTCATAGCAGATAACTTGGGGTAAATAGAAGATTATGGTGTATTATCCATCATTTCATATTTTTGTTTAAATAATTCTTAAAATTTTGAGTAAAACATCTAAAAATACCATTAGCTTAATAGTTAGCAATGTTAAACTTCACTTTTAAGTTATTATTGTTATTAAAATTTCAAAAATGTCAAAAATTGCACATTTTCAGTAGTGTACATTCAGTCAGATATGTCCAAACACTAGTTCTGTGGTTCTATGGCAGTAATTGGACTCTATATAGTTAGTCTGTGGAGGAAACTGATTAGACTTTAGTCAATTGCAACTGTTACAAATTTTTTGATGTTGAAATATATATGAGCAGAAATAGAAAGCACAGGGCTACCAAAAGAGAAAATGCTGCACATTTCTTTCTGAATGGGTAAGTATTGCTAACTGCTTCCTTGTAAGTGGAATATTTCCATGAAAATCATCTGACAGTTAATTTGTAATTATGGATATAGACCGTAGCACTCATATTGACACTCACTCCCAAATGGGTCGTGTTAAATGGAACGGTTTGGCAGGCAGTCAGTTCAGTGAATATAAAAAAAAAAGCAATAAAACGCCCCTGACATTTATAGTACATAACGTTTCTACGTTCATACAAAGGTACTTATACTTTTGCGCAGCAGAGAGGAAAATGATGGGGCTATATTTCGCGCTGTTGCCAAAGACGGTCAGGAAAATATGGCTGTGTTTTGCTCCATCTGTCTCTGTTTGCACTGTAAATCATGGATGGAAAAGCAACGGATTATGGGGGAGGTAGGTTGGATTAGATGAAGTATCCTTGAAGATGTCTTTTCCAGGGTCTTTGATGGTAATATATCTATTTTTCTGCCTGGTTAGTGTCTTCAGTGACGTATTACATCTATCTGGGAAAATAAGTGAGTAAAAAAAAATGTAGATCAGACATTTGTTGCCTTGTCATTTACCTTCTCCCTTTCCCTCTCCGTCCTATACTCCCCACCCTCATCCTGACCCAGTAAGAACCACAGGCATAGAGAGAGAGATGCCTGTGTGGCAGGGTAGTAGAAGCTTCCCTATGTTTTTGTGTTCTTTTCTGACTGTAACTCTTGTTTCCCTTAAAGGTCTGGCGCACCTGATGATGGGCGACCAAGGTATGTCCTCTGTTCCTTTCTCACTCATCCCTGCCTCATTCCTTCATCGCCTTTGTGCTTTTAGCTTGAAGCTCCAGCCGCTTTTCGCTCACACTGTTCTGGGGCTGCATTTGCCATGGTTTAAGGAAACCTGAACGGAGCTAGAAAGCATGGCTTCACCACTAAGCTGTGCTTTTAATGGCTCCATCCAAAGCAAGGAAGTTTTGAATTTATTGATTGCACCATACATTCCATCAGAAATCGTGTCTTTAGTAGCTGTAAGGATTTTCAAAATGGGTTAAAGACTAAATGAACAATTTTACCTCTCCATTTTCCGTCTACGAATGTGTACGTTCTTAACATATTTGCAAGGCAGGTCAAGCTTTTAAAAAATTAGTAGCATACTTAACTTTTGGTCAAAACACCTACGCTATTTTACTGCTAATGGTGCTCCCTTATTTAGCCTGATCAACACGAGTGAGTGAGTGAGTTGCAGGCCAATTCCATGAGGTGCTTTGCATCTGAAACACTACAAACGGTCTAGCATAACAATGCAACCTTTGACACGGATACAAAATTAATGTAATTTGAATTGAACTGAGTTGCGTTTAATGATATTTTTTACTAACAGTATGTTAAGCTTGTCCAACCTTGCAACAGTTGCTATAAACAAATGCATTTGTAAGCGGATCATGGGCAGATCAGTACAACTATATCAGCCTGGTACATCAGTACCAAGGATCAATCAGAATGAACCAAATAGATGTTTATCTTCCGCAGGAATAGAGCAATTGGTCAGGTTGGGTAGCCCATCTAGTTAAGCTAGTGTAAAGAGCCAGTCTTGCTCAAAGAGTGTATACTGCTTTGTGTTTTTGGCCCTCAGCCCACCAAGACAAAAGGTTTTGGCACCCCTGTGCTAAGCTGTGCTTTCAGTGGCTCTACCTAAAGTGAAGGATCTAGCTTTGAATTTGCATCAGAGCTTTTGCATCAATATTATTAGTATCCATGTAGATTTACAAAAGACGTAGCTGTACAATTATATAGTGCAGTGTGCAATAAATAGAACTCTATCCATCAAAAAATACAACACAGCCCATCAGTTCCAAGAACCAATCAGAATCAGCAAAATGTATTTTAGCAATTGGGTCAGGTTAAGTAACCAGGCTAGTTAATTAATTCCTCATGGAGTGCTATTGCATGTTTTGGAGAAAGAATATTACTTAATTAAGATGTAGTGTTTTTTTTTTCGCCCCTTCATTATCACTAGCTTTTCATCCACATCACTAATCCTCCATCAGCCCTTTCTGCCCTCCTTGCGTAACCATGCCTCTTATTAAGTGTCTCTCTCCTCTCCCTTTGTTTTCCCTTTCTCTGGGCTCTGCTTCCTCCATGGAACCATTTCATCAAATTGTGTAGGTAAAAGTAAAGGTACCTAATCTCCCTTTTGTCTCCTACATGTCCCTGCATATATGCTTCCTAGCTGATTGCTTTGTGGTCCTTCACTGAGCACTTGAATGTAGATTCCTAAGAGCCTGTAAGTGGGTTGCTGAATAGTACACTGAACTTATGAGCGTGACAAAATGTCTTGAAGGTAGGTGTTCTTCCACCACTGCCTTTTTCTCTACGCTTGAGATGCATGTACAGTATGCGGCGTAGCACTGTTCATAAAGCGGATCGCCTTTCGGCCTGGCAGTGCATTCTGGCAGCGCTCGGAGCAGTACCTGCTTACTCAATCACCGAGATAGGTTCTCTGAGAACCCATCTCGGTGAAGAAAATGAGGAATTTTTCTCCAGAATTGAGAGTTCCTTCAGCACAGGTAAGTAGCTGTCCGAGAATAGTCTCTTGACTCCGCTCCCCAAAGAGTGTTTTGCACCCAAAAAAAAGGAAATAAGGCCAAGCTGTTTCTCCTTGTTTACGAGGCAGCAATTTTCCCTGCTTAGCATAATTAGCCACTGAAAACACAATGGAGTTGAGTCAATTGATAATGGCTACTATATTTACTTTGGCAATTTTGTTTCTTTTTTCTGGCCTACTCTTCATTGGGGGAAAACTTGAATGGCGTCTCACTGGACATTAAGGCAACTGCGATAAGTGTGATTTGTATAAAGGCAATTTCCAATTTCATAAAGCTTTTATTAAACTATAATAGAAGAGCATTGGCTGGAGAGGATCACTGTTTTGTTTGGGCATGAGGGCAATTCAAGTATTCCTTTTTCATTCAGTTTGGACTGTTCATGCTGATGTCATTTGAGATTGTGATGTGTCGCTAAGTTTAGCTTTTATCCTTGATATGGTCTGGCAATTCTGTAGTAATAGAATCACACTGTGTTGCTATCAAATATGAGACTTCATGGCAGTATTTTACAACGTTTGTGTGCTTTGACTGAGCTCTGGATTTAAGCATTGCAGGTAAGGCAAAATCATCATGTTTTTACGGAATGGTTTATGAAATTATCATACTGCCTCCAAAAATTAGCATCTCAGAATTCCTATTTAAGTGTGGCTTTAACCCTTTTAGTCATGGAGACATTTTTACTTAGAAGAGTGTTGGTATCAGTACTGGTGGAGCTCTACTGCGCTACACTCTTAAAAATAAAGGTGCTAAAAAAGTATTCTTTGAAGAGAAGCCATAGGAACACCACTGTTGGTTTCCTAAAGCAGTGATTCTCAAACCAGTCCTCAGGGACCCCAGGATGGTGCACGTTTTTGCTCCTGGCCAAATAATGACACAGATCTAGAGGAGGCCATCTGGAGGACCAGTTTGAGAACTACTGTGCAGAAGAACCTTTTAGTGCATGGTTCTTTAAAGAGCCTCTTTTGTAATTGAGATGTCTTAGTTGAAGAAACTTTTTTTCGAGTTTAAAGAACCTCATGATTTGACAGATCTATACCAATGAAATGTTTTTCCTAGTACATTCAAGCCAAGAACCACTGGAAATCTTTTGGAGTGATGCCGTCATTCTTAAAAAGGGGCATTTTTGGTTCCCTTAAGGACTTTTTAATGGGTGGTTCTGGATAACCAGTAACTAAAAGCATGAAGGTTCTAGAAAGAAACCGTAAACTGGCAAAGAACCTTTACAGTTTAAAAAGATTCTTTACACTCAGAAATCTCTTGGTCAAATGTGGTTCTTTGCCAAAAGTGGTTCTTCTATGGCATTAAACTAAGAACTCTTTGTGGCACCGTTTTAAGAGTTTCATTGGAAGGCACTGTAAAGCACTATCCATTGTAAATAAGATGTGCAAAAGTGAAGAACCTTTTAAAAGTTTCAAGAACCTCCCCATAATATAAAGTTTTTATAGCGATTAAAGAAAGGGTTCCTAGAACCAGATGACCAAACCAAGAACAACTAAGGAAACTTAATTTTTTTTAAGAGTGTACTTCACTACAGAATAAAACCACTATAAAGGGTTCTTTGGTGTGATCCCATAGAAGAGCCATATTTTACAGAACCTTTCAATGAATGGTTCTTTTAAAGAGCATAGGTTTTTTGCTGGAGTCATATGTCCAAGCCAAGAACCATTTAGGAACCTTTACTTTTAAGAGTGTAGACCTGCTGAGTTATGATCACGTGGGAATGTAGACTGCTTGTTGTTATGGATCTGAGGATGACAATCTGAGCAGCTGCTTTACCTGATGTCTTGGTAAGTGAGTTTTCCTGTCTCTCTCTTGGCCATGCTGTTCAGCGTTCTGTTGTGCGTACACGCTGTGGAGAACAATCTACACACTGTCAGCTCACTTAACTGTCTTTGAAGTAGCTGTTGAACACGAGCCTATATAGCGTTTTCCTTTCATTTGCTTGGGAAGAAAAGACTGAATTGCTCTAGTAAATTTGAATGTAATGACATGCATTGCTTTTGATAGTCTAGCCTTGGGACATGATATTCTAAGTGAATGTTCTGGTTTCTGTGTCTGCTACCAAATGCGTCTTTTTTTTCAAAGCTGTTTTCCTGCAGACGTTTTATTTACTGTTTTATTTGTCCCCGTCAATTGAGGCTCATTATGCATTGTGATTGTGTGAGGTTCTTATTTTTGCGGCGGGTCTCCGCTAACAAATAAGCCTGGACTGAAGCCCTCTCAGAAACGTTTTGATGTCGTACAATTTCAGAGCCACTTGAGGGCCTGTTTCAGACATTCTGCTGTTTGGTTGTCACAAGCTAAGTAGGCAGAGATTGTTGCTATTGCGAATTTTTTTTTTCTTCTAACACTGTAAAAAGAAGTGACACATCGCAGGCTTTACTGCTGAGAGAAAGAAAAGAGAGAGAGCTTCCTGGATAGTCACGTGCACTATTAAAGCGGACAGTGTGGCTCGGCCATCTGTGGCAGTCGCCGCATTGGAGCTGAACAGGCCGCTCGCCGTTTCCACCGGCAGGCCGGAGGAAGCAGAAGGAGAGCCAAGAGGAGCCATGGCACAAGTGCTGAGTCAGCAACATGGGCCAAACGCCATGCGCTTTCTAATTCTGGCCTATTGTTAGCGACCAGCGCAGTTGACCGCACAAGCTGCAGAATACGCAAACACAAACATGGGCAATGTAGACCAATCAATTCGACTTGTTTAGTAGGGATACAGCAGTTAGTTGACAAAGTTCATTATTAGTCAGTTAAAAAAAGGAAAAATATCAAAACAAGAGAAACTCAAATTGTCCCAGTACTTGTAATGTACTGCATCATAATGTATCTGTCAGAATAACGATGTGTATCATATAAACACTATAGAGCATTACAGAGTTCCATTGTTAAATTTATGGTGTGTCAACAATTGAAAAGTACTCTTTAATGCTATTTTTTATGTATGTGGTCATTCTTATAGATCGCATTATACTTCAGGAAGCATAGGGGGCGATATTGCTTCTACTGTTTCGTTGCAGCGTAAAAGAAGAAATCACTTCACAAAAAAACACTCTATAATGCTCTATAAAGTTTTACAGAGTGCATGTGGTCATACTGACGGATTGCAGTACACTAGAGAAAGTGTAGGTGGCGACATTGGTTGTCTTTCTCTAGCGCAAAAGTAAAAATCAGTTGTCACTCAGAGAGCTCTTTATAAAGCACTGTTGTGTTTTTCTGAGGCATGTGATCACACTGACAGAGTGCATTACACTACAGAAAGTGAAGGGGGTGATATCGGTTCTGGGTCAGTGTAGCTCAGAAGCAAAAATCATGTCACAGAAAGTGCTCTAAAATGCTTGGTCCAGATTTTATGATGGATGTGGTCACTCAGATTTCAGTACACTATAGGAAGTGTAGGAGGCAGTTTATGTTGAACAGTTTATGTGAATGATGCAGAAAGGAGAAAAATTGAGGATGGCATTGATTAATCAATAAATCAATAGTCAATTATTGTTGCAGCTCTGCTGTTTAGGCTTTATTGGCAATTACCTATGGTACTATTTTTGGTATCAACAAGTACCAAGCAAGCTGAGGTGACTTGGAAAAATGGCAGACTACTGATTAGTTGGAGAGAATAGTCACAAACACACATATGCTAATGTTAGCTACGTTGTTAGTGCACTCTCTTGTGTCGCAGTTGTTTTGGTACCATCAGCCTCTCCTGAACAATGTTTCTCTCCTTCATGTCACAGTAGTTTCATGTGGCGTCACTATGACGACCAGCTACGTTGCTTCTCTTGCTTCCACCTCTTGCTTCTACCTGCAGTAGAGTCGAGTAGTATCAAGCCAAGTTGAGCTGTACCACATGGTGGAAAAGCGCCATTAGATAAGCCAAAAGAGCTGGACTGCCCATTTCGAAAGTCACTGTGAACCCTCAGGTGCCATGCTGCTGTTGAAAGTCTTAGCCAAAGGCATAGTGCCAGCGGTCAGATGAATAAAGGCAGGGTCGTGATGACCTGCAGCTTTAAGACACTAAGTCAGCAATTTGCAGTATCCCACTCAGGATTCAAGCTAACACTCTGTGGTTGCTGTTGTGAAGTTCACTCAGTCACTGCCAGACTCCTGAAGGAGCTTGCTCTGTCCCGTCTCGCTCTCTCCTGCCAATGTTTTTCATTATGATAATAACGTTAGCTCCCGTTCAAGAGGTTCTGAAGGTCACAAACCATTATAGGGCCTTGGCTAAAGCCCGCTGCAAACTGTGATAAGGGCAGCCTTATAAGTTTATTGCATGTCACGCTGTATGAGATGATGCCTATAAAATCTCGGCCCAATTCTGTGGCCGACTGCGATATCATATTCACGTGTGCTGCATGCCGGATTATATGAGGCGTTCTCTGAAGAGAGGCCTGTAAGGCAAGAGAATTATTCAATTCTACTCCACCCTGTTGGTGCAAGTTATGTCATTTCATGCCGTGCTCTTATTGGTGCATCATAGCAGTGGTTACATTCCAGAATTCTGGAAACTGACCACATCTCTTTGTAAGCCATCTTTGGTCGCAGCTCACTAAATTGGCTCTTTGTACACACGTCACCTTAAAT